GACTTTCTTGCGCATGCGTGATTTTTAGCTTCCTCGCATATATATATAATTGCGCACTACGTAGCATCGAGTTTTACTTGTTAACAATCGCGCACTGATCAGTGGCGTCATATCGCATCGTCACAAAAAGGACTCTGGATCTCGCATGTCGACTGTGCACGACGTGAACCTCGTTCACAATTTAAAAATAAGCGGGAACAGGTTCGAAAGAAATTTAATCGCATGAACGACCTAAACTGAACCAAATACCGACCCACAATCCAACCACCTTATGCTAGCAATCCATAACCGGCTCTTGGGTTATTAAACGACGCTGAAAAACTACGAAAATTACTACAGTTTCAAAAGAGGTGGAATGCGATAACTAATGGTGATTAGGTAAGGATTTGGAAGGGTACTGTGGTGGCCTATCCAAGCATCCTCCTGAACACGCTGATGGGATCAGAAAATCTGGTAACCCGGTTTTAATCTAACCACCGGGTGCCTCCCAAATGTCTCTGCAGTTCTATTAAACGTGGAAAAGAAAGCCAATGGGTCCAGTCAGCTCCCATGCAGTTCAATTCCCATTACCAAGACATATTTACTTTCGATCCATTTAATTATATTTTATTTATTACGTTAGTCTTATATTAAAAAATGCATACAAAATATTAGTCTTGAAGTCGGAGTGGAAAAGACCACTTGGCACGCCTAGACACAGAAGGAACAATAATATTAAACTACATGTCTTGAAAACACAGGTTATGTGCGTACGAACTGGATTCATCTGGCTGAAGATATAAACCGGTGGAGGGCTTTTGTGAGCACGGTAATAAACATTCGGGTCCCATACAAGTCTAATGATTTTTTAATCATCTGAACGACTTGCATCTTCTCAAAGAAGTCTCAAATACAGTATTAAGTTTGTGCTAGTCTGCTATTTCAATTTTAATATTATCCTTACGTTCGATATGCTGCAAAGCTTAGTTTCGAAAAATAAACTGCGCGTCGTGAGACAATGCAGTGTTATTACTGCAATTGGTAATGCATGAATTTGCTCCCCACGGTCTAATTTATCAAACAGCGCGTTCAATTCTATAGGCAGTTTAATGGGGTACAAAAGTCCAGGCCTTTAGCACTACACCGACCTTCCTCGGTGATATAAAACCTGTTATTAACAAAACAACTCTAGGCCTTCTACTGCAATTTTTCGTTGTTAATAACGTTATTTATTCGATACTCCACGCAGTTGATACAACTTTATTAAACAACATACACATCAGAGTTGCACATGCAATCATAGTTAATTTACGCCGGTTTGTAATTAAATATCACAATATTTGGGGCTTTGCCAGTATTAGTCTAGCAGTAATTTAGGGCTCCAGTACAGTGTAGTACATGAATATTGCATACTAATCATGTGTAATCATAGTTCTGACGAAACTGGATGACATAACAGGACAGGTCCTAGCAGTGTCCCCACAGACCTCGAAAAACATCTATAATGTTAAGGTGAATAGTCCGCGTCAAACAGGGACAATATGGCGACCTACTACATGATGAAAGTATAACTGCAAAACAGTCCCTATACCACAGGGGAAAACAACCAAAAGTATATAAATTCTTAACATCTATTAATAGATCTGTGTCTAGTCACGCTTCGACCGCTTTAACTCAGGAGAAACAACCACAATTGCCTATCGGAGTTTCATCAACCTGTCAAGATGTTGTGATGAATGGAATCTTCTAGATCCTAACGGAAACAACACTGATCGGTCGACAAGACTGAGTAACCTAACCTTGTTTAGTTACGTCTAGGACGGTTATAAATTCTTGTACATGCGCGTGTATACAGCGCTGTAAAACGTGTTCCCAAAATGCATAGTATAAGTGATAAGCCAGAAATATAATTTTTAAACTCACCTGATTTTAGCTGGAAATGTGATTTTGCTGATGAACGGAGTGTGCGAAGCGACAGGCCGGTAACAGCAGACAGCTTTAATCCATAAATGTCACACAAACGAACTTCTCGAATCTTCTTCTATATAAATAAGACGAAAAGCACATCCACTATAATAATAGTACTTCCCAATACAGAGTTTCTTACGTCTCACACTCAGGCAGAGTTAAAACTGTCTATATACAACGTAGTTTAACTTCAAACAGCAACGCACATTCAAAACAGTTGACAGTATAAACAACTGTCTATATACAACGTAGTTTTAACTTCAAACAGCAAAGCACATTCAAAACAGTTGACAGTATAAACACAAGTCCCTATGTTACTCTGTGCGTGTCTGTTAACTTCACTGTAATGTGTCACCTGACGCCCCTACTGGCCTTCACACGACTTAATTTCGTTCACTCTTTTTATAAATATTATTCTTAAATTTGTCATGCAAACTGTCTCGTAATGAGGTCTAGGAATACCTAGAAAAAAGTTTTAAAATTTACTAATTAGACATGAAACTATACGTCATTCACATACCCGTGGTGTTTCTTTGCAGACACTTGTATTATTTTGCTTAAATATCTGTGCAGTCGTGTTGCAATCTGTTGCTTTACCAACAATGCAACAGGCTTTTCCTCCCCTCTGCTTGCTGTGTCTGGCGATCGACTGTTCAGGCAACACACAACTCTTAAGATTACCTATTTCACCGTACACTATTCAGTGTAGTGTCAAACGAAACAAACACCAGCCATCCAAATGCGCCAGATGAAGATTTCACAAGCATCCAAAACTTCACTTATTTTGTTTTAAAAATAAACTGCTAATGTAAATAATATTTTCTAATAGTTTTCATGTTTTCGTCTATAAATCTGTCAAGTGTATTTAATTACAGGATGGAAAATATGTTAACAATTAGCTTTGAATTAAATTAAACTCTTCTACTTTCCTAAAAGTTCTATTTTCCCTAAAAACGTACTGACAAAGTTCTTTAATATTTGTAAATTTATATTATCATACACTGAATAATAAAGCTGCTTTATTACCGAAAACTTTGTATAGGAAATGGATTTGCTAAAATTGTTCTTTGTTACATTTTAGTAGCAGAAGCAACGGTCATATGATATTAATGTACGTTACCGGTTTGAAACATCTCTACTTTACAAAGAAGATACAAGATCTCATTACAATCTACACTGCACTTTTTAATAATGTTTTACACAAGTATGCAAAATTTTAAATGCGCACAGTGCAGCCCCAGTAGTCGAAATCCCTTTTCTTACAGAAATCTCTTTTATGTTATGATGGCTGGAATACACCACGACAAGAGACGTCCACTTCCTAACCTAACAGTCTAACACAGTTCAGAGTCCACTGACTACTGCCGACATGCAGCGCCAGCGCCACCTGGGCAAAACACACTGTCCCCCTCCCCCCGCACACCGCCGTCCTATCAAACCATTGGAGCCACGCAATGTACGCATGCGCCATAAAACCACAATTCCTCCTTTACGAACGAGCAGAAAGAGAAGTAATGTTATAGCAAAGTCCCCAACGGCCGAGAGGTTCAAAGCGTGGGTTTTGGCAACTCGAACGCTGGGATCTTGGGTTCGAATTCCACACTCCTCGTCTGCTGTTCAGATTGAAATGGACCAATCCCCGTACAAGGAAGTAAACAATCAAATTGGTCCCGAACTGAACGGGGCCAGGCCTACTAGATTACAAAAGAGTAACAACCCATACTAAAGACATCGTTTTGATTCCCTCTGGGTTATTTTAACGACAAATTTCCAATTATACAACGTCGAATGTAGGATGATAACGAACTGTTAATTGGATAGGACGCGTAATGAAGAGATAGTGGCCTATTTTAAGATGTCACTGTTGGTCTTCTAGTTGTAATGCCGCGTGAACTTGTGGGTAAATTCCAACGTTTCGGAAGAACATACTGCCTTTAAGCCCTGAAGATGGAGGTTGTATGTTCCTTCAAAATGTAGGTATCCACTTACAAGTCCACGTGGTGTTGCAACCCAGCAGATCATGATAGACTTCTTCACGTCCGTCAAAAGACAAAATGCTATATATTAAGATACTATCGCAACGTTTCCATAGAGAAACTGAGGAGTACTTGTGTTTGGAAGACAGAGGGTTCAGATGTGGTCGTCGTTTGACCTCTCTGAGGGACTGATGTCCACGTAACGACCATGTACTTGATAACATGTACAGACAACTGGGTAACGAGCTCTCCAAGTGGCAAAGTGATGAATTAAGATTTATGAAAGGAATGTTTTAGGCCTGAGGACACGTATATTAATTGCCGTAGAGTCGCCAAGCAGGCCGACATTTTAGTAGTAAATCTCAAATCAAGGGTTTTGATCAGAGTTCTGAGATAAATCCTTCAGTAAATGTCGTTCACATGAGCGCCTCTGCTCACCTGTTAAACATGGACGAAAGAACGTCTGTGACCTCTCAGTCAAAGAGGATAAACTTCTCAGAATTCAGATTCCATTTAAGGTTGTTAAAACATCGTAACACATAAAATAAGATGACTGGTGATACCATGTTGTTGATTGTTTCATCGAGTTATTTAACGCCATTTTGAATACGTGGTGGACAGAAGAATAATATTATATTTATCTGGAATAAATAAGGCCTGAATCCATGGACTGAACTTAGCTTGTTCAATTTTATCAGTCTAATCACAATAAAATATTATTATTATAGCTTGTTGGTGAATTCTCCAACATAGCGACGTCCAGAGCGAATTTGGATCGTAACCAAAGGCAGTCTTTCCTCAGGTGTAAACCATCTGCCATCTACCGATTACATGACCGTACGTCCAATTTCTGCATACACCTTCATGACTTTTTGATTAGGCCCCGGAGACAATGTCGTTATATTCTTAGTCATTTTATCTAAATAAATTGCGAATAAAGAAATAGGAAGAGGCATTACATCAGTTTCGTAACAGATGGTCACAGCTGTTTTAAATGGCATCTCGTCTGATCTGGGCTCCTCAGAGCCCTCTCTCGAGTTCCTCAAACAAGTGCGTAAAAAGAACTGCATCTAGAGCAGGCCGCTGTCATATTGATCTACCTGGAGGGGACGCAAGCCAATATCTCCCTCATCGTGCAAGGCAGAACTACGGCAAGCGTCTGGTTAGCTTCCTGTAGGTCACCGGTTTGAAAATCTCCGAGCAAGGCGGAAGATCGAAATCCCTGCCACAGCTCAGATTATCGTCCGGAGCCTTCTCACCACGGAGGCCCGGGTTCGCACCAACGACAGTCCATATCGAATCTCTGGTTGACAAAATGCCACTGGGATAGGTTTATCTCCAAGACGTTCGGATGTCCTCTGTCAGTGTAATTCTACCACTGCTCCATATTCAACGTAATTGGTGATACTCAATGGGCCCGAATATGGCTGTCTTCTGGGTTGTAGCGACATGTATTATGGTAAAAGTTCACCGACGTTTCAGAGGTCGGTGCTGTTTCCGTCATCAGTTAAAACTTTTGTAAATTTCTAATCAAATTCAACGCAACAATTATATATAGTTTATTAATAAGTCATTGCATGACTAATCACCTTCAAATCTCTTTAAAAATTCTCCAACACTAATTATATTGTTTATTGGTTATGGAAAATTATAAACAACAAACTATTTACAGGGCAGTGGGAAAAATGTACAGGGCTCCCGCCTGATTTGACAGCCCGCAACCAGATATAAAACGTATTTACAATTCCGTGAAGCAGAGTTCTTCTTTGTACGCTAAAAGTTGCACATCTAGTAAAGAAATTGCCTGATTTTTGTATTTTCAGTAAGTTCATTACACTGTTAACCGTGTTAACAAGGCCACATCGCTGAATCCTATCTTCATCCAGATGAACCTAACCCAAAACTTCGTGGACTATTCCTTTTTAAGTTTGTTCGAATGTTATATCCCCATCTGTTCCCAGGTTTTTTCAAGCGATTTTTTTTTTAAATTTAAGTCGAGTGCGTCTACATGCAAAATACCTATTCTAGGAATGCGAAATAAAACGTTTCTGTAATTTATTTCCATGTAAATGACAATTATTCCAGCTGGAATGATACATCGTTTGCAAGTCATGCAGACAGTCATTTAGACAGAAGAATTAATATATTTTCATACCTTCGAATTGTATTAGATTGCAATATATTGGAACAAAGTCTACTGACCGATAGCAAGGGGACAATTACACAGACTTCCTCATTTTTTATAATCTAACTAAAATCAGACGGTTTTATAGTTCATTTATTTTCTAATTTAAGTTTTTCTAAAGTCTGAAGAAAGCTCATTAAATTCTATCCTAGAATACTTTCCATTAACAGCGAAGTTTTATCACGCGAAAATAAGGAACTCTGAAGTTCCGAACGAGCACTTGTGACTGCTTCTGCTATTACAGTATTATCGGTTGTTCTGAGACCACTGTTCTTTGCTTTTTGTTCCCCTCAATTCTTTTCCCTATGTTTCTTTCTCCCTTCTCTACTTCTCCTATAATTATCTGTGTTTCTTCGTTTTATCCGTTTGGTTTTGTATCTCTCCCTCGAAGCTGAAATTAAATTAATCCAAAATAAGAACAAGATTTTAGTTACAGTCTTCAACTACGAAGGGCTATTAAGCCCGACCTGTGGCTTGCTGCTATCTAACTACAAACTTTTCCTAAATCCTGCCCAGACGTGAGGTAACACCCATATATAGGGGATCAGACTGTCTTCATAATACAACACATGAAGACGAGACTAACCACATGGACCGTAGCGGGATTCAGCCATATTAAGAAAATTATCATTATTATTTTCATTGAAGCACAAACATCTGCTTTAATATATTAATGAACTTTAATTAAAACTGATTAATTAATCAATTCGAACATTAGGGCCACCTACAATCAAGTGCATCTTAATATTGTTGCCTCAAGCTTCGGCAGTATTAATCCACTCACGTTATCCGTTGCGGTCACACTGACATCTTTAAAGTTTAGGAGACTGTCAGATTAAAACAGATCACGTCACATGGGATCGGATGCAGCAGTTACAAATAAAGGAATTATGAACTTGCGAAGTGCCAAATGAGAGGTATACGAGGTGTGATCGGAAAGTTTCCAGGCTGCGCGTATAAAAACCCGTACACTTATCTCAGGTATTAAATTCATCAATCACCCTCGAAGTAGTTCCCCTGGGAGTGAACACAACGATCCCAGCGCCGCTGCCAAGCCTGGAAGCATCCCTGGAAATCTTTCTTTGTCAGCCTGTCAAGCACCATCTGCGATTCTGCCTGAATCTCTTCTATCGTCTCAAATCTCCTTCCCTTTAGCTGAATTGTCATCTGTGGGAAGAGGAAGAAGTCACACGGAGCTAAATCCGACGAATAAGGAGGGTGCGGGATGACGGCCATAGTGTTTGAGGCCAAAAACTGCCGAACTTTGAGGGCGGTGTGCGCTGGCGCGTTGTCATGATGCGTCGCATGGGGAGTTCTTCGTTTAGAATCAGCTGACAGGTCCCATAGCCTAGCCCAACAATGTCGCACAAGTCGTTGATGGTACGACGTCGATCTTCGTAACATTTTCGGGCGTTGTGCTCGAAGATGGTCGTCCAGAACGCTCGTCATCATCGACAGAGGTTCGGCCATTTTTAAAACGTGAATGCCACACAAAAGTTGGTGCACGACCCATTGCGGACTCCCCAAATGCTTGCTTTAGCATTTCACAGGTTTCCGTAGCCGTTTTGGCGAGTCTTTGGCAAAATTTGATGCACACGCCATTCCGAAAGCGCAGGAGGGTCGGTGTAATGCACTACCAAAACACCCGTAACTAAGAAACAAATGCTAATTCGAGGATGCCGGCTGGC